GATTTATGACTTTAGCTGCCTTTGTCATAAAAAACTAAAGCAGCACTGAGATGCTCTCATGCCAATCAATTCACATTCTGCTAAAATCAGATCCACATTTCATACAGACTGCTAAAATTCACAGGTTTTATTATTGTTAGAAATTGTAACAAACTGATGCATTAAGATGTTTTCAAGCAAGAATAACGTTCAGCAGTGATTATGCTTGACAATGGATGACTGATGCTCAGCTCTAAAAAAAACTAATTTCTTTTAACACAGCTTGATTTAACAAAAGTAAACACTCTTCATAGAATAAATTAAACCCATCTTTACTGACATGCTCCAAAAACAGATCTGTTGAATTTACGACTGGTTCCACTCATTTGAATTTAGTAAACGTAAAGCAATTTTTACATTTACTGTTTAAGTAGTTGTATTAAATACAGCAGGTAAAATAAGTATTGAACACGTCACCATTTTTCTCAGTAAATATATTACTAGAGGTGCTAATGACATGAAATTTTCACCAGATGTTGGTAACAACCCAAGTGATCCATACATACAAAGAAATCAAACCATAAATGTCCAGAAATGAAGTTATTTGTAATAATGTGGAATGGCACAGGAAAAAAGTATTGAACACACTTACTGAAATTTATCTAATACTTTGTACAAAAGCCTTTGTTGTCAATGACAGCTTCAAGACGCCTCCTGTATGGAGAAACTAGTGGCATGCATTGCTCAGGTGTGATTTTGGCCCATTCTTCCACACAAACAGTCTTCAAATCTTGAAGGTTTCGTGGACCTCTTCTATGAACTCTGATCTTTAGTTCTTTCCATAGATTTTCTGTTGGATTCAGGTCAGGTGATTGGCTGGGCCATTCCAGCAGCTTTAGTTTCTTTCTCTGAAACCAACTGAGAGTTTCCTTGGCTTTGTGTTTGGGCTCATTGTCTTGCTGAAATGTCCAGCCACGTTTCATCTTCATCATCCCGGTAGATGGAAGCAGATTTTTATCAAGAATGTCTCTGTACATTTTTCCACTCATCCTTCCTTCAATTATTTGAAGTTTGCCAGTACCATATGCTGAAAAACAGCCCCACACCATGATGTTCCCACCTCCAAACTTCACTGTTKGTATGGTGTTTTTGGGCTGATGTGCAGTGCCATTTGACCTCCAAACATGATGTGTATTCTGGCATCCAAACAGTTCAATGTTGGTCTCATCTGACCAGACTATATTCTCCCAGTATTACACAGGCTTGTTTAAATGTTGTGCAGCAAACTTTAAAGGAGCTTCAACATGCTGTTTCTTCAGCAGTGGAGTCTTGCGTGGTGAGCGTGCATACAGGCCATGGTGGTTCAGTGCATTACTTATTGTTTTCTTTGAAATAATCGTAACTGCTAATTCCAGGTCTTTCTGAAGCTTTCCACAAGTGGTCCTTGGCTCTTGGACAACTCTTCTGATCATTCCTTTCACTCCTCTATCAGGAATCTTGTGAGGAGCACCTGGTCGTGGTCAGTTTATCGAGAAATGATGTTCTTTCCACTTCTGAATTATGGCCCCAACAGTGCTCACTGGAACCTTCAGAAGTTTAGACATTCTTCTGTAACCGATGCCATCATTATGCTTTGCAACAATAAGGTTGTGAAGGTCTTGAGAGAGCTCTTTACTTTTACCCATCATCAGATGGTTCTTGTGTGATACCTGGCCATCATTTGGGACTGAACCAGCTGATATTAACTTGCACTGACAAGGGGCAGGCTTGCTTTCTAATTACTGAGAGAGTTCAGCTGGTGTCTTGGCTTTCCATGCCTTTTTACACCTCCCTTTCTTCATGTGTTCAATACTTTATCCCTGTGCCATTCCACATTATTACAAATAACTTCATTTCTGGACATTTATGGTTTGATTTCTTTGTRTGTATGGATCACTTGGGTTGTTACCGACATCTGGTGAAAATTTCATGTCATTAGCACCTCTAGTAACATATTTACTGAGAAAAATGTTGACGTGTTCAATACTTATTTTACCTGCAGTATACTCAATTCAGTTGAGTGGAACCTGTTGACATAATTTGCTTAAGTAAATCCAACATATCTGTTTTTTAGTGTATTTTGGCCAAAGGGAGAATGTTAGAAAGGGAAATGTTCTAAATAATGTTTCCTTGGTATGAAATTGGTCAAAGTCTCTACATACTCTGAAGAAATGTTATCAGAAAGGTGTTTCAGACCATCAGGAAAATGCACAATATACTAAAATTATCAACAAGTCTTTGAATAAAAAATCAGCAGACAAATCTAAACAAGGATGTGAATGATTTAAAATTCAACTTCTAATCAAAGCTGCTAAAATTTGCCAGTCATGTAGGATGTATACATTTCTATATATTTTAGTTTTGTCATCAGCTGTTATTTAAAAAATATATATAGTGACAAACAACCTTGATTCCACCCTACTTGTCTGCACAGTCTAAAAAAGTATAATTTTGAAGGCATCAAAACCTGCCACAGCTCCCTTTGGAAATTGAATTCTGAAGTTACTTTTGTGTCTTTATCTAAATGACATGCACCTTTCTGTCCTTTCAGAGCCCCGACATCAAACTGTTGAACACATCTGCAGCTAACCTGAACCTGCAAATATTCAGTTTATCAGCCTTTGTGGGCTTTTCTGGGAGGTTTTCGGACAGGATGGCCATCCTGCGATAAGCGTTTCCCATTCGGTGTTAGCCAGAAGGCTGCTGAGGCTGCTGGGAAGTCTAATCAGTCTCTTTCCACCTGCCTCCATCACACTCTTTCAAGTGAGTTACTGATCCACTTCTGGACAGAAATCATATGTTTATTTTGTTTTCTTTCTCGCAGCAAACTTTTGCCTCAAAAATTGAATTTGATGCCCAGGGGCAGGAAGGAAAATTGGGCAAAAATAACATTTTCACAAAATTCAGCCTTCCGCGACTCTAATGAATGACAAAACAAGATAACTGTGGGAGATGCTATTCACTGCAGGCTGGCAGTCCTTTCAATTTACTCCTCATCAATTCATACTTATAGTGTAAATCTCAATATTGGACATTTTTCTATGACTCCACGCTTTTTGTTTCTAACTGAAAAAACAAATAAAACATCACACTATTACAATGCCAACATGTTAAGCACAATAAAGCCTTGTCAGAAATGAGCAGATGACACCGCGTGTTAACTGATGAGATTAATGTCATTTAAAGCAAAGAGTGCAGTCTATTTAAAATAAAACTGTTAAAGGAAACGCCATAGATTAAATCAAGAATCAACTCTTTAATAAACAGGGGAGGGTTCAATTTAGAATCACAGCCTGGCAAATTCTGAATGCCTTCACGTTTCACTGATGTGTCCCAGATGATTACCGTTTAATCAGCTGCAAATGTTCTTAATTACAAGATTAGTCTCCTACCAATTAGCCAACTTGCTAATGGTTTTAATCTAGCGTTGAAGTCTACTGAATTCTAATTAGAGACTTAACTGTTTCAATTTACCTAGAGGCCCATCTGATGGGTCATTACAAACCTAGTTACCCTCCGTATAAACCAACCGCAGCAAGCAACTAAGGTCCAATTTGGAGAGCAGCTGTGAGGGCTTTATGACCGTCGCTTGGGCTGTTTCTGTGCACCAGGAAACAACAATGTTTCTATTCCTTAAAAATTGCAGCTATTCTGATGACTCAGAGCAAAATATTACACTCAGCAACACTGTAGGCTGAATAAATTATTCATCCAGACCTATTTTTATTTTAATGAAAAACAAATAGTTTTTTTGTGCGACTGTTGCTAAAATACAAACATTACGTTACATTATAATCGGTACACTCAAAAAACAGATGTAGTGGATTTAATTTCAAAAAATATGTCAAGTGTTTCTACTCAACTAAACAGTAAAGTTAACACACTTGTTATGTTACCTTTACTTAATTCAGTTGAGTGGAAACAGTTAATATAATTTTTTTAAATAAAATTTATTATCGGTTTTATGAGTGCAAGAAAGGAAGGAAAATTTAGCACATCAAACACGATTGTTTAAAAAAATGTCTGTCCAGCTTGAGATAAAAGTAAAAGCTGTTTTTGATTATTATTATTATTATTATTATTATTATTATTATTATTTTGCTACATGTTCTTTTGTCCTAAAATGAATATTTAAGTATCTTCAATACAATTCAAACCTCCCCTTTTTGACTGGGTTCATTACAATTATGTTTACTAATTTTTATTTAAAAAAGGGAAAAAAAGAAAAAATAACATTACAAGATTACGAGCAAGTTGTATTTTCTGCACATTGACTCCTAATGAAAACTGTTAATTGTATTTTAAACAACAGAACGTACAGCTAAACGCTTAGCTTCCTTTTTTCACTACTCCATTGTACCAAGAAATAAAAGTTAATATTTTGCTATCATCAACATTCAAAGCATTATTTGTGTGAAGTGTTAGACAAACAGGACCCAAATGTATGAATCACCGGAGACTGAAAACTAAAAACCTTCACATTCAAAGCAGAACAAACTAAAATAGGAAAGGATGTAATTCAAGAAAACAGATTTTTTTTTTGTTTTGAGAGACTGAGGTCAGTACAAGTCAAGAGACCAAAAATCGCAGACAAAGAAAATGATTTCAGAGCAAATGAAAGCAAAGCATGCACAATTTATGCAAAGGATTTAATGAGGAAGGCAGGACAGGTGAGTGGCAATTAGGGACAGAAGGCAGACATGAATTCAGACAAGAAGACAACCTACAAAAAATAGGGACCAAGGTTTTTCAAACAAAATAGAAGAAAAGAATAGTAACTAAACATTAAACTGAAGCATACAAGGATGGAAAGATGCAACAAATTCAAGGGAAAATGGATCACAAGCTGGAGAAAAACACTTTCCAAAGACCAAAGAAAGAAAATTTTCAACAAAACTCAAAGATAAAGGTGCAAAACTTATACTTTAAGAAAACTTTTTTTTAATTGAAGCAAAAATAAAACCAACTTTTCTGGATCTTACCTGCCCTGTACTTTGATGTCAGAGATTGCGTAGAAGTATCTGGATAGATTGTTCTCATCCACCATGGTAGCTCCAGTTGCTGGCTTCAGGAGCTTAATCCTCAGATCAGTGATCGTGAAGAAATCCCTCAGGTTCTTAGTGGTATCCAGCTGGCCGTATAGCGAGGCCATGTTGTGAAGACGAGGTCCAGCAAACAGAGCGAAGCGGGCCTTTATCTCGAAACGAACTGTCTTGTCGTTCTTCCACACGTAGCCTCGGGAGTAGTCCTCGGTGCAAATGATGTCCAGCAGAGTGTGTTGGGTCAGATCATTCACCGTCTTGGGTTCCATCGTGAAAGCGTCAAGGCAGTCCGTGGCGTAGAATTGGTAAGGTGTCCAGGTACGGCCATAGTCAAGGGACTTTTCCAGGACCATCTGCTCCGGTCGTCCCGATTCAAAAGTGATAACAATATCATCCGTCAGCTCAATTGTCTTGTTCCATGATAATGTGATGTTGACCTGCAGAGGCTTTGGGTATTTTTTCCACGATGTCGACTGCCAAAACGTTGTAGGGTTTCTACCCTCAAAGTCAAACATTAACCCGGGAGGATGAGCCAACTCCTCAGTGTCAGCATCACATTCATTGTTGCACATGTAAGGATTCTCCTGAAAGAAAACACAGGAACACAAAAGTAAGTGCATGAGGCAGGCATAATGAAAAAAAAACAGTTTTCTCTATCATGTTTAGTGCAACTTTTAAATAATGTGTTACAGTACTTGATCAAATTGGGTTATTTAAAAAGTGTACTATGATCACACAAAATATTTCGGTAACACTATATGAAGGGGTGTGCATAAGACTGAAATGACTCTGTCAAAAACATGAAAAAACATGAAGGAGGCTTTGTGAATGTTTATGACTGTTGTCATTAAGTTTCATTTGATAAATTATGACATGTTTAACACAAAATTGACAATGTTTAAAATGTGTTGGTTATGACAACTTGACGTTAATCAAGACAAAAAATATTTAACAACTTGAAATTAACAAAGAATTCATGTGATGTGATACAATCACATGACTCTAAATACAATAAAAAAAGCATCTATTGACATTTCCATGTCAGTGTATATATCATATCAATCATTCTAATGTCAAGTTGTCATAACCAAAACATTTAAACAATGTTAAATGTGTCGTAATTTACTGAATGACACTTAATGGCAACAGTCATAAACATTCGTAAAGTCTCCTTCATGTTCATGACAGGTGTTATGTCATGCACACCCCTTTAAATAAAGTGTTACCAATATTTCTAACTTATTAAATAGAAGGCAATTGGACTTCTTATTTGGCTTCTTGAAGATGTTTTACCTTAACCCTTTTGGACGAGAGATCGTGTCCCTCATCTAAGGTAAAATATGTGCAACAATTCTACTGAGCAATTTAGTCATCATGTCCTGAATGACTTGAAATCTACACCATGATAAAGTAACAGAATTTCAGTTCAAAGTATATATGTTTGTATGTATATACAGTAGCTGAACCATGATAACAATATTAATCTGAACTTCAAAATAATTTCAAACATTTAAAATATCATCATATTTCCTACAATCAATTATTCTAGGATGGAAAAAAATATGTGCAAAAACAAGTTATGACAAATGATTGCCCATAAATTAAGTCATTATTTTAGCTTTTACAAGCGTGAATATATATCTAAAAGCTTTTTTAATTAGATATTTTCAGTTACCTATAGGATATATTGTGTATTTTCCTCCACAGCTGCCTAATGTTGTTGAATTCCACAACAAACTGTTTAAAGTTGAATCAGAATTGATCAGTTTGGTGGTTAGAAAAGGAGACGTCAAAAACTAAATTGATTTATATCGGAAATGTAAACAGTTTAGGATTTTCATTGTGTATAATGTGCAGTGATTAAAAAATACTTCATGGTTTTAGAAAACAGAGCTTGGCAAAGTGTTTAGTTCCTCACACTTTCTTATAGCAGAACTTGTTAGACTCTTTCAGGTTTGCCATTGACCTTGAGAAGTTATTTACTCTTGCCTTGATTCGCTGGCTTTCTTTCCTATCAACATTCCATCAACTCAACGCAATTTCTATCACAATAATGCCAATGTGTATTTGGTTATCCAGGAATGTCAGTTCCAGACCCTCTCATTGAGATAACACTGTAGATTCCATAATCTTGTTGAGCACCATTCCTGCCCACGTTTCCACCTAAATTGCCTGTGTAATTGATATTCCTGTGTGGTATTTCAGCTGGGATGGGAATGGAATCCCGATGAGCGTTTCTTATAAAACAGGCAAAGGGACATGCATTTTTCATGGGCCCATGTTTGCTTTCTACCGTAGACATCCAGAGAGCCAGAGTGTTTGTGTGCGAGCACGCTTGTGGGGAGAAAGAGAGGCACTCTTGATGTGTTTGTGTTTGTTTGTGACAGGGATAGAGAGCTCTGAATGTGTTTGCTTGTGTATGTGTGTGTGTGTGTGTGTGTGCGCATGCAGTATGTATTTGTATGTGTGGGTGTGTTTATGAGCGCACAAATGTGATTGGGTAGCGAGAGGAGAGGGAACAGTGAGAGCGAGGAGAGAGCTGAAACGAGGCCAGAAAACACAAGACTCCCTCCAATTGACATTCCTCTCACCTCTGCTGCACGAACAATGAGGGTTAAGTGCTGATGAGATTCAGATCAACTGTAACATGGTTCGATAATCAGCAATCATCTGACACTCTATACTGAAAATTATCTAAAGGTGAGAACAGCGCTATCTCGCACATTAGTCACCTATCTCTTAGATGTAGCGGTGCTTTCAACCCAAACTGCCACTCTGTTGAGGGGGATCAGCGGCAGGAATACTGATAAGCAGAAACCATTGTATTTTATTTGAAAAGACCAATAGCTGCTTTTGTCTTCAAGTGAGTTTCAAAAATTCTCTTCCCCACAGAAAATAAAGTATATTTGATTTTTTTATCTTCCTCACAGGAAGCTATAAGGATGACTGCTCTGTTTTTTAGATACACATCTCCTGAGTCCATTTCATTTCCTGTGGGACTATGATATGCTATCAGTCACTTACTCTTCAGCGAGAACAGATAACAATTCGACGAGGAAGGAAAAGACTGCAGGATTGTGGGTCACTAGGCCTGCGCTGCTGACTCAAAAGAACATTACATGATCCAATTAGAAGGGTAATAAGGGTTGCGCCGCTAAGAGAAAACATGAGGATGAGGAAGAGTGGGAGGTGGAAAGAAAGAAAAAAAGTAACCCTTTAGGAATGTGTTTTTAAAAGGAAGATCAGGTTCTAAAAGTATTCTGCCTTCCCGCCTATGCACACCCACACACCTTCAGCACTAACACGGAGCTTGAAAGGCCACGGCGTAGCCTGAAACCACAAACAGAGAGGAAAAACAGAGGAAGATTTAAAAGAGAGAGTTAAGGGGTAATAGGGAGAATGGTGGCTGTCTGAGTTCTGCCACAGGGACAATAAATTGTACTCAAGTCTACAGTTTACCATTGATGTGTGCTGAAGCTCGTTATAGTCCCTGCTTGTGCTTGAACAGGTCGGGAGGTCTGTTAGAGCTTGATGGTACGCGGAGAAGGAGACAAGGATTGACTTTGTAAGAGGGAGTGATTTCCCTGTTGTAATTCAAGAGCATGAATCTTCACTTATTTATTTTTCTTACTTACTTTCTTTTTTTTTTGTCTGTGGTTCTCACAGTTTCGTCCAAGAACAGCGGGATGGCTGCTGTTGTATCTGCTGAGGAGGGATCCTTATTCACAGAGGCTATATAGAACTGTGAACACATCACTCGTGGCTAATGAGAAAACAATTTCCTGACAGAACAAAGAAAAGGGGTAAAAAGAAGCCTTTAACCGAGAAATGTGCCCTGTCAAGTCACTATAAGTGTTCAGAAACAAGTGGAAAACACCCAGTAACTAGGAACAAGAAAAAAACAAACAAAAGCAGCTGGAAGCAAACATTTCTCATTAGCCCAGCCTATTGTTGATAACACCCAATGATCTGAGGGCACCGTTCTTATTGAATGTTAAGAGGTACATACAGTATTTATTCTCTTCCCATTCACCTGGCATGTCTCCAAACAGCCTTGTTTAGGTGGAATGAGAGACGCAGAGAAAGGTCAGTCCCTTTTAGCGGGCATCCTGTGGTGGTTATTTAACAACAAAAACACTGCCTTATGAAGATCAATACTTTCTATGGTCATTTAAGACCAAGAGCTTCAGCGCTGTGCCAGGGGGCAGCTATTGAAAAACAATAAACCCTCTCAACTTGATCCTTTACCTGTGATCAAGGCTGTGGGAGGGGGAAAAAGTCAGCAGAGGATTTGAAAAAAAACAAGAATTTTGTACCAAAATGAAATATCGACCAACTGAAAAATAGATCTGACCTTAAAAAAAAGGGAAGAAAAAGGAAGTGCCAGCATGAAAATACAGTTTAGTGTGTTATTGAAGGGTAAGTTACCATTTTAAAGCACAATGCAGCATTTGTGATGTAATGTGATTAGAAGAGAGGCAAACAGATTGGAATAAAGATAGGCACTTGGATGAAAGCAGTTTTCTAACAGGCGTGCATTCACACGTTCATTTCATTTAATCACCAAAAATAATCTGTCAAAGTGAAAAGCGGAAAGTTAAGGGTGTTAAAGTTAAAAAGCTTATACGTTTATGAAGCAAAGGGCAAAATAACACAATTGTGATGTTACAAGAGCATGAGTCTCTCTTTTCCTGTAGCCTCACCTGCAATTATGCCAACGATCTGCAGGTGTGAGCAGCCTACTTATATAAGCTACACCCACTAAAAGGATTTTCCACCCTGCAGGCTGCATGGGTGCAGCTTGGCTGGTGGCCTTATAGTTATAATAACACCCTTCTTTAGTAAACTTCACCATGTTTTCTTGTGGTTTCATTGTGTTAATTCCATTTGGGGCAGTGGTTTGTAACATTAGCCATGTTTCCATCCAATTTTAATGTGAATTTTGTGCGAATTTTGAAAATAAAGAAGAAATGCGAATCAGATGTTTTCCCATCAACTGGCTTGGAGCAAATCAACCAGGCTATGCAAAGTGTAATTAAGTCAGACATTGACATTACGCATGGCTGTATTAAACAAAGTTGCAAACTCGCAGGGACTGCACATCTCGGGACAATGCAGAGAAGTTGTCAAGATTGTGTTGCTACTATTGGGAAAGTTATAGTTATTCTGTCATTTTAGTATTGGTGATGTTACATGCTCTCTGGAGACATAGAAAGAGGAATGCAATAAAACAATGACAGCGGGAGGAGTGTTCAGCTGCAGCCACAGCAGCCTGTAGAACTGTTAGACAGCAGGAAGGTAAATGTTCACTACGTCAGAACTTATTCAGCAAATGTTTCCAAAACAGAAATCCAAAAACCACCTCAAGTGCATGCATAAAACATTTTTTCAAAATTGAGTAGGTTTTGCGACCTTATTTATTGCAATACTTTAAAATGCACATAAATAACCTTGATGGAAACATGGCTAATGATGCAATATAAGATTTAATGTGATTAACAACATAAAAACTTGACCTGTTTGTGGCAATAAAATGAAGGAATTGTAAAGGACACACTTTTAATGTTGCTTTATTTCTTTGTTT